ACTTTCTCTTCTCTACTTGTGCCACCTCATCATCCACTCATCACTATCACATCGTTTTTATTTAATTTTTGTAATTTCAAATTTAATACATTTGGTTATAACATTATAAAAGAAATTTGAAAAGTTATTATTCATTTTCTAAATTAAATTTGAAACCTCAATATTAACTTTATATACATAGTTCACTAAAATAACAACAAGTTTAATAATTGGCTATACTAATATAATTCACACAATGAATATTTAATTAGGTAAAACTGTATCCCAAATATTATAAAATATCAAACAATTCCTAAAAATTAAACAAACAAATTGATATATAACTAAATTCATAAAGAAAATATATAAGTTGATACGTATTACATCTAATAAAGTGAAAATAAATTAAATTATAGGTTTACTTAAGACAGCTATTGCAATTATACATAATAAAGTGAAAAATATAATAATAATTTTTTTTTAAAAATAGAATAAGAGAAATAATTCAAAGTCAATTTTTAAATTTATTAGTATTATTATGTTTGTGTAATGTTATTAAATATTGGGGCAGTTACAAAAATATCACTTTTTGTGTGCACATTTGCAAGAATGCCAATTAGGGATGTCCATTTGCAAAAATACCACTAATTATAGATTTATAAAGCCTATATCTTAAAATTCTAAACCCTAAAAAATGTTTTGACCCCTAAAACCTCCTAAACCCTCATAACTAAACCCTAATAGAATATAATTAACCCAAACATAAATGATATAAAGAAAAAATAATTTTGAAAAAGTGGCATTTTTGTAAAGATTTTAAAAGTGTGGTATTTTTGTAAAGTGACACTTGAAAAGTGGTATTTTTTGAAATTTCTCTTAAATATTTAAGGATGTTTTTAGAAGTTTGTCCCTGTAAAACTTTTATTACTTAGATTTGGTGATCCATACTTTACTTGAAGTTAATTCTATTATACCTTTGATTTAGTTTATATCTTTGATTTAGTTAATTACCAACATATGTTTTTCATGCATATAAAATGATTTTTTTTTCATTATGTATCAAGGCTTAATTACTATTTTGTTTTTTTTATAAATCGTAAAATAAAATTATTTATATATCAAGGTCCATTATGTATAAATATAAATTATATATTAACATTATTTTGTACGGTCAATACAAACTATTTAATTAATATTGTTTTAATATTAAAAGTTATATTTTAAAATGTAATATGATATGTTTAAAAATGTTAATGAAAATTTTCGACCAAAAACAAAATTTAATAAAAATTTAACATAAAATTTTTAAATTAAAGAATATTAAAAGTGTTAATATTTTATTGATAAGATACTCATTGGGTATCTAACTAACGGGTGAGATATTGATAATAAGTAGAGAGTCGTTCAAC